AAAAAAATTCACCAAAATTCTTTACCATCTGATATGACAATATAAATAGATTCTTTTCATAAAATGGGTGGTATCATATGAAAATTCCTGTTTTTAGAGCGTCTTCAATTGTTTGGTTTGTGCACAACATTTTAGGAAGCCAAGTATGAGAGAGGAGGGGGAGAGAAGAAGAAAAAAAAAGAGGAGAAAAAAGAAGAATTTTTTAAAAAAAGGAGAAAAAAAAAAGAAGAAGAGAAAAGCTAACTTGACAAAAAAAAAAAAAAAAATACTTGGTGCGTGCAGTACACACACCTGGCTAGGCGCTATATGTAAGATTTTCCCGTAAAATATATATTATATATTATGGGTCTTACTTATGTGGTGCAAGTGGACTAGACCCATTAAGTAATTGGTTGGGTTGGACGTTTAGGTTTAAGTCTGTATTCCACCAATGTGCCTATATAAAGCTTGTATTGATTGGATAAAAGATACATGATTATTATATGGTACTCAGCTCAGAAAAATACCAATCCACCATCTAGGGTTCTGAGTCAAGTATGAGTCAAAACGGCTAACCTATACTGCAGATCTACCGTTCACGAGGCTACACAACAGGATATCAACCATGGCTGGAGATCTACAGTGCTTCCGCTTCCGCTACTACGAGTTAAGTTTCTCGTAAATTATACTCTGTATATTTAGATCTCACATTTGGTATCAGAGCCTTTATCAATCTCTGCCTGGTTGATTGTATTGCCTACGAATCAACAATTTTTTTTTTCATATACATCAAGATTTTGTATATGATTTTTTGGACTACTGACAAATTATTATGAGTATTATTTTTTTTGGGCATTACGCAATTTTAATCTTGTGTACATGAATTATATTTCAAAAAAAAAATGCATGAAATTATATTGTTTTTGGATATAATTTGTTGCCATTTTTTTTTTTGCTATTCTACGAGTCATTGTGGGATGGCTGCTGTTGAGAACTACGTACGTCGCCGCCGTAAGATGACGATCGACGCTGTACATGATGCTATTGAGCCAAGCTTGCGTGGACGATGGAGATCGTTGAGTTCTGACGACGCGTCTTGGAGTCGCGGGCGGCGGACGGTGGGCGGTGCCTCAACAAATGAGAACGACGGGCGCGATATGGAGTCGTTGGCGGCGAGTGGCAACGTGACTAAGGCCGTCGGCGGCGGCGCTGGTCGTCACTTCAGTTCGGCGCTGGACGACTGGCCTTTCCTCTTCCGCTTCGGCCAGCTACTGTTGCACCTCATGCGATGAAGACGACGGCGGCCTGCTGTTGCTGTCTTGGTATCATCTTTTTCTCTCTTCCTCCTTCAGTGGCGCCGGAATCTGTTGGGTGTTCATGGATGCTCGCCGGCTGGAGAAGCCATGGACGAAGACGGAGATGACGTACTGGTACGCAGTTACCTACTAATATGCAATGTTTACCATATATATATTAATTTGCCTTATTTCATAATTAAATATTACTTATTAAATTTTGGTAAATGGAAATAATGTGGTTTAAATATTTCCATATTAATATTGTATATTATATATTATTTTGGCAAATTAATGGTAAATATATAGTAATTGCATATTTTTTTTGGAATATTAATGCCCTTTAGTTTTCTCTTAATTTTGCATTAAATTGATAATTAAATTATTATTCAATTATGGACAAATATTAAATTTTAAATTTGCTATTTGAATTTTAATTGAATATTGAGATGCATATTAAATTGCATGAAGTATTGCAATTTATTCAGAATTTATGGGTTAATATATATTAATATGTAAAAATTCAAGCATGTTATGTGTATTCATAAATTATTTTATTATAATTGTACATTCATAAAAGCATGCATTAAAGTTGGATTAACATATTATTAACTCATAGTCTCTATATTAAATGTCATTCAACTTTAGGATCCTTAGGCCAATATTTGATATTATGGTCTATTAAGACAGCTTGTTTGGTTTCTCATTTAATTTTGAGCATATTTTAGTCATATATTTTACTTGGTACTTTAAAACCTATTTTGAACAAGCTATTTGGGACTTATCTTGGGTCATTAGAGTATCGATCCCACCATTTTTATTGATATTTTAATAATAATTATAGCTATTTTATTTGACTTATAACATGTATATTATGCTAATAATATTGATTATTATGCATAACATGTTTACTAAGTCTTAATTATTACTGACTACCATATTTTGTTAATGGTATTATGGTTGATAATAATATTAAGTTTGGATATATTTCAGTACTAAACCATTTTATATCCCTGTCATAACCCACTTGGACCATTGAGTTTATGGGTCTAATTTGAGTGATTAAGTGCTATAATTATTGTTTCGGCTTATTTCTGAGCCATTAAGGTTTAAATTATTATTTTGGCCATTAAGAATTACAACTATTGTTAAGTTGATTATATTTTTTTTAATCTATCAATAGTTTTTAGGCCATAATAATAATATTAATTCCTTTAATAATATAGTAAGCAATATAGTTGGTATATTGCCTTTACAATGGTAATTTGATTATTACCATAATTTCAGTCTCCCTAAAAGACATTATAGTCTTGATTAATTATTATGTGGTAATATGATATTAATATTAGATGTCCCTTTAATTACAGTTTTGCCATTTATTAAGTTAAAATTGGCAATATTAATAAATGTTATTAAGTTTAGGGGCTAATCTCGGTTATTACCTTTCATAATAATTATTATTGCTTGGTAATCTATTATGTTTGGAAAGATTACCTATTTGGTGGTTATTGTTACGTACAATTGGACGTTGCATTGAGGTTACTGACGGTGAAGATGGGAGAATTCTAGCACTATGGGAGATGCGGTTTGTATTATTAAGGTTAGTCATTAAGTTTTTATCAATTAGTGCTATAATTATAGTTTGATTGCTATAATTTTTTTTGAAATTGCCACATTTTATTTCCTTAAGAAAAATGAAAATATTAAAGAAGGTATATTACCATATTTTGGTTGTTATTACCAAATATTAATGGTGATTATAAGGTTATTTATTACCATTAATATTTTAATAATAACATTATTATTATGGTTTATTTATGAATCCTAAATTGTTTCCAATTATGTTTATGTGGCAATGCTTCAGATAAGAAAATTTTTTGTTAAGGCAACTGACTATTGCCATTGTTGTACATCTATTCCATAATTCATTCAGTCTTTGAATTATGATTAATGTTTTTGCCTATATTTGATTAAGTATGAATAAATTAATATTTGGTGTGATTTCATACTATTTAGATTGTTTTATGCATTTGATCACATTAAGTGCATAATATTATGTTTAATTATGCAATTAGGGTTTGTGAGATTTTGATTTACAAATGATAACATATGCTTTTGGTTTGTTATTGTTATAATTTGTGAATTCAGTTATTTCTCATGAATTTGATCTTTATGCATTAAAATATTTTGTCATGGGTTTACAGTTTAAAATTTCAAATTATTGAAATCTCATATTGTAAATTGCTTTAGGTCATGCAATTTGTCTGGAATATATGAGTTTAATGTTTATTTTTATGCATATTTGTCCTAAGCATAATATTTTGTTTTAAATTATGCATTTTTTTTATTATGCCTCTAGAAATGCATAAATTTAGGATGGACTTATATTACTTCCTATTTAAGTTGGACTAATGCATAAACTTTAGTTGCGGTAGTGCCTGAATTTAAGCACGTTTAGTCCGTTAATTTAGTTCATCAATTTAAAGCCTTATCCGTAGGTGAATCTACAATCTTTAGATCTTCCAAACGATTTTACTTCAAACATGAGAACACATAACTTAGGGAAGTTTCTTGGGGAGGAATACTAGTTCTATGGCCTTGGCTTAAAAGCCTTGTTGCTACTAGTCCCCTTGCGACGCTACTCTGTCTAAGGAGTTGGTATTTAACCGAGCTTCGTCTCGACCAACTTTCCTGAGAGTATACCTAATAATTGTCTATCATGTGTTGGTTTAATTTGTTTGTTAGGCTTTAAATTCCCCTTTTGCCAAATGATTACAATTTTAGATTAATTAAAGAGCAGCCACATGCAGCATCTTTAATTGACTAAAAATTGACTATGGTTTAAATTACATAAAGATTGGCAAAGATAATTGTCTAGTGATCTTATAATTTTAATGAGTTGGGGAGTAGCCACAACATCCTTAATTAGTTAAAATTATATATTAAGCAGTTTATCTTGATCACATACAGTTTTAGACATATCATTTGTGATTAATTGTATGTAATATGATGGAATTTAGCCCACAGGCAATTTCGTTATATTTGTATAGTTAATTAGGATGAAATACTGGACTACGGTCATAATTTAGCCCACATGCAATTATGTAGCGGAATGTGGTTTAGTAGTTTTATCAGTGATGATAGAAATAAATTAATTTTATTTACTTTATGGTTATTTGTAAATAATTCTCATCTCTATCATAAAGTTTAATTTTATGATGTAAATCTTTAGATCATATTTCTTAATTTACCCACAGGGATTAAGGAAAGGAACATGATTTCTTAAGTTTTTATCATAATAGTTGTAATGAATCTTATTGAGTAAAACTTTAGCCTACAGGCAAGTTTTATGTCACTTGATTCTTCAACTTATTTGATAATTGTTTCATCATAAAATTTCAGTTGGATCTAATTGAGTAAAACTTTAGCCCACAGGCAAGTTTTATGTCACTAGTTTCTTCTGTCTATTTAGTAATTGAGATAAAATATTATCATAAGGGTTTAGTTGGATTTAATAGAATTAAAAATTTAGCCCACAGGCAAGTTTTATGTCAATAAATCCTTTAACCCATTAGGTAATAATTTTATCACAATTTCTTAGAATTTATAAATTTAGTTCAATTATAATTCTAAGTTTCATGGTTTGCATTGGCAAAACATGTATTCAGTCACTTCCCAAAATTTAGCCGCCTTTATTAATTGCTTCACGAACTTGGTTATTTGGATCAACTATAGTAAGTTATGTGATGTGATATACCTCTTTTGGATTCCAAGACTAAAATGTACCTTTTGAGCCAAATTCTAACTTGGTTTTGGAAGGTGTGTTTTATTATTTTAGTATGTCCAACTAATGGTGGGGAATTAATATCTTCATTATTTAGTTGGACTTTAATTGGAACCAAAAATTGATTATTTAGTATGTCCAACTAATGGTGGGGAATTAGGCAATTTATATCCTACACCACGGTGCGCGTTGCACTATGCGCCCAGATGCAAAACGACGTCGTTTTAATTATTTTTTTTTTTTGAAATTTCCCGCCCCAGTGAATGGCAGTAGTTTTTTCTTAAAAAAAAAAAACCCGCTGTTCAAGAATGTACATAATGTTATACTAGAATACACATAATGTTATACATGAATGTACATAATTATATAACAAAATATACATACTCTTTTTAAAAGATAATACACATAATCTAACATAATACATAATAAACATAAACTTTTAACATAATACACATCAACTCTTAACATAATACACACAAATTTTCTGATTCGGATGTACATAATTGTATAAAAAGAATGTACATAATTGTATAAAAAATTACACATAACTGTATGAACCAATACACATAACGTTGTGAACAAATACACATAACGTTGTGAACAAATACACATAATCTCAGCAACTTCCTACCGCGCCTCCCAACACTACCCCAAAACGACGTCGTTTTGGGAGGCGCGCGGCGCACAGTGCTATGTGCGCCGTGGTGTAGGATATAACGATTGGGGGAATTATGTCTTCATTTGTTAGTTGGTCAAATCAATTACGAGTACGTATATCATTAATTTTGCTAAAGAATATCTTAATCAGTGGGAGTGATCATTTAAAAAAAGATCATTAAGATACTCCATTAAAGATTTTGGATTTAATTCGCTTCATACATCCCATATTGGATTGTATGTCAAACAATAAGTCCAAAAGATTCCACGAGTATTAATCATGTATTTGTTCATATAAATTCATATTGATTGTGCAACATATTTATGAAGATGTTGTAACAATATTAAAGAGTTTATTAGAACAAAACATATAACTTGTGGTGAACTTTTAAGTAATAAATTCTTCAGCATTTAATAGTCTTTAGTTTCTTCAAAATTGATCTGGGCCATTTTGGTTTTTAAGGCTCAAAGACAATTTTGAGAAACATAAAAGTAAGACTCATAATGTTCAGTTCATTTTGAGGTGGACCTTAAGATTATTTGGGAAGTTATGGTGTATGTTTAAGATTCCAAATTTATGGACTTAGACCTTTGGTTTATTGTCAAAGTTGTTGGAATGCTTCTATGACTAAACTACCTTTGGGCTATTTTGATGAGTGGGAGTGACAGACGTGTCAACTCCAAGCTCTTAGCCGTTAGATGTAGTTCTTATGTTAACTTATAAAGAAGTCATGGAATATATAGTTAGCATTATGCTAACATTAAGAGATCTCTACTTAAGGCATGCTTTTAAGGATCTTAGAGATCATACAGTGTACTCTTTTATACAGTTTGGATGGTTTTCTCTCTTAAGTTGCGCATATATATTTTATTTTGAGAAACATCCCTTAAGGTACCAAGAATAAACATTGGGTTTGTTCATAAAGGATTCAAGTTGGGGAATAAAAAAATACATGTGATCATAGGAGATATTACTCACTTATTCAGTAGAGGACATATTACTATGGTTCGTGTGTTTTGTTCTTTGATGAGAATTTGCTAGTACTTGCACCAAGTGGGAGACTGTAAGACTTTCCCGTAAAATATATATTATATATTATGGGTCTTACTTATGTGGTGCAAGTGGACTAGGCCCATTAAGTAATTGGTTGGGTTGGACGTTTAGGTTTAAGTCTGTATTCCACCAATGTGTCTATATAAAGCTTGTATTGATGGGATACAAGATACATGATTATTATATGATACTCATACTGCTCAGAAAAATACCAATACACCATCTAGGGTTCTGGGTCAAGTATGAGTCAAAACGGCTAACCTATACTGCAGATCTACCGTTCACGAGGCTACACAACAGGATATCAACCATGACTGGAGATCTACAGTGCTTCCGCTTCCACTACTACGAGTTAAGTTTCTTGTAAATTATACTCTGTATATTTAGATCTCACACTATATGTACGTAAACTGCGCCTTTTCTCTAATTTTTCTTTCTTCTGGGAGCCCACAAAAAATCAATGACTTACTAGAAGACCAAATGCATTCTCTCTCCTTCTTCTCTATCCTCCACTTTATAAAAAATTGAGCTTAATCCACTGATGAAAATGCTCTTATATTTGCGCTACCTAAGTCTCAAATCTCAAGAACTCTCCAACCAAAAGAAGCCATATCTGATCTTATTATTATATCCAACAATGATTGTTCAAAGCCACAATTAGTAGAGGTAAAACCTGCAGGCTTTTAGTACAAAAATAAGTGCCCCAACTGATGTTAGTCTGTTACATGCACACAATCATAGCATGGTAGAAAGTGCATGCATCCCTATCATTACAAGCCCAAGCTGAGTAGTGAAAAGAACTCAGTTTTGTCATTCAACTCTTCATATATATATATATATATATATATATATATATATATATATATATATATATATATATATATATAGTTTGCAATTGTACAACATCATTAGCTCCTAGCTACCTTAGTGTTAATCATTTAGGTCGAATCAAACTCCTATTCGACAGAGCATCTGGGAGAATGTAAATCATGGTAACTTAACTGAAAACAAGGACTAAACTTTTGCTTACTGCGCACAAGGAACCCCTCACTTTGAGAGATTGCTCCTACACTGCCACTAGTGAAACTTGATCCCTGGTCATTCTTTCTAAACTTCGCCTCTGTAACCAATGAACTGCCCATGCAGGCTACCTGGTGTCAATCATTATTTCATGGATCATGGTCCAAATAGTTGTGTAGACTATGAATAAAAGGTACATTTTTAATGTACATTATTTGACTGCAAAAGATACACTATTTTGTATACTATCAAATCATGTACATTCAATACATAAATAATGTACTTTTGATATATTAAAAATGTACATTTTATTTATGATCCACAAAGCTGTATGGGCCATGGTGTATAAAAAAATCTGCCAGTTAGGGTGAGTAGGGTCAAGTTGGTAATTTTGTTAAAAAGCAACAGATTTACTTTGGGCCTTTGAATTTTGAACATTAATGGGAATCATGCCTGCCAAAGCAAAAGGTAAAGATATATATGTTATAAAGAAAGAAGAAAAATAATAATAAATAAATAAATAAAATAAAGAGAAAAAGAAACACATTATATTCCTGCTGGGCCATATCTTTCTTTTAGACTTAATTACTAATCTCTACCTCTAATTCAACTCAAAAGGTGCATTTCATTGGATCATTTCTTCTTCTATTCCCAGATGAGCTTTCTTCTTCTTCTTCTTCTTCTCCTTCTCTGCATCTCACTTTGGCTATTTTGTCTCCTTTGTTCATGCAAGATCCACACACCTCTTCACAAGCAAGGTAACATTATTATTATTATATTATTTTACCTTAATTTCAATAATATAATTTAGTATTCTAAATCTTGATTGTGTTTAGTTTGTAATTACCTTAATTTTACAGTCTTCAACGTACAGTTTAAAAGAATATCAATCTTTGAGTTGATAAATTATATATATATATATATATTCTCGATATTCAATGTTAAAAATCAGTCTTAAAATTTGTAAAATCTAATGTAGTCTATAAGATCTCATCATTCTGAAAGGGAAGATAAGACATGAAGTTTAGCATGTTGATTTGAGGCAAAATAATATAATATAATGCTGCATCACACAATATCATCAATATTTTATATAATGATAAATAGGAAGTGAATAAGGTGGATGGTCAAAGTTTATGATAGTTTCATTATTTGTCTGAAATCTGAATGATTAATTTAATTGTTTTTTAAGTTAATTTCATTTTTAATTTGTTCCTAAATTTATAGGTGATAGTCTACTTTTGGTCTTTATTATCAGAATATTCTCATTTGGTCCTAGTATTATTTATTGTGGCATGACCATTTTTGGTCATCCATAAACAAAATTGTTGAAAAGCTGTTAAATACAAGGACATTTCGATCTTTTTATACAAAATAGGTTCACCGGCTATGTTTTTTATTTTGAAAAAATTTATAATTGAAGACCGAAATGTCATTCTATTTAACAAAATTTAAACTGTTTTGTTGATAGATAACAAAAAGTAGTCATACCACAATAATACTATGACCAAAAAATGAATGTTCTGGAAAAAAAAAAAAAAAAAAAAAAAAAAAAAAAAGGACTAAAAGTGAACTACCATCTATAAATTTATGACAAAAAATAGAATTAACTCTTATATATATATATATATATATATATATATATATATATATATATATATATATATATATATATATATATATATATATATATATATATATATATATAGAGGGTTGCACTCAGGTGCGAATAAGTGCTCAGGAGGGAAATGCGAACGAATCAGCGCGCGACACGTGTCCAGATCTAATAACTTAAAAAAAACGCGGTGGCATTTTCGTAAATAATTGAACATCGAAGTGCAAGTAAAATCACTTACAAGTGCACCTACTTTCACCTATAAGTGCATGTAATTTTGCCTTGTTAGCATTCACTTTCCGCAAACATTCATGCACCTGGGTGTGCTTATAACTATATGTGCAACTATTTATAACTATAGGTGCAACTACTTATAACTATAGGTGCACCTACTTTCACCTATAAGTGCATGTAATTTTGCCTTGTTAGCATTTACTTTCCGCAAACATTCATGCACCTGGGTGTGCTTATAACTATCTGTGCAACTATTTATAACTATAGGTGCAACTACTTATAACTATAGGTGCACCTACTTTCACCTATAAGTGCATGTAATTTTGCCTTGTTAACATTCATTGATCTGAGTTCAGCGGGTAGTAATACCCCTGAAAACCACTCGCAAACATTCATACACCTAGGTGCAATTACTTATAACTATGTGTGCAACTACTTAGAACTATAGGTGCAACTACTTAGAACTATAGGTGCAACTAAGTATTGATGCTCAGTGTAAATTTTTACTTGCACCTATAATACATTTTACATGCACTTGTAATACATTTTACTTGCATTTCGATGTTCAATTATTTACGAAAATGCCACTGCATTTTTTTTAAAAAAATCAGTGTTTCTCATCCATTAGATCTGGACACGTGGACGAACAGAATTCATTCCTATTTCGCGCCTGGGCGAAGCATTCGCAGCTGAGTGCGATTCTATATATATATATATATATATATATATATATATATATATATATATATATATATATATATATATATATATATATATATATATATATATATATATATATATATATATATATATATACATACATAGAAAGTTGATTTGTGGTTATGTTGTTTTACAATATGTTTCTCTTTAATGATGATCCATAGTAGTTAGCTTTTGCCTAGATAGTAATATTGTTTATAGTAACTTATGATATATTCTTCATCATAAATTTGATTCTAATTTTTTTTTTTTTAAAGACGGGTTACAATTTTTACATGACATTTTACAAAAATAAATAAATAAAAGCAGTCCTCATCATATAACTAGAATGTTTGCACATAATTTAATTTTTCTTTTTTATTTGTATTTTTTGTGTGGGCTTCTTATTTTGGTTGAATTGTGTTTGCTAGATAATTAATATTATATAATCCAAATTAGAACTATCATTCATTATAAAATAATTAATGGTTTAATTTTGTACTCCTAGTAGGATTGGAAATAGAGTTCTACAAAATACAGGGACTAAAAGTGCAAAAACATCTTTTTTATAAAACCCCGTTTAAAAAAAAAAAAAAAAAAAAAAAAAAAAAAAAAAAAACCTGCATTCCTGTTCTGTTAACGGTCCAATTTTTAGAATAAATTCTACTACATAGACTCTCAAATCTTACTTCCTAAATTTTACTTCATGATGTAGCGCATTCTGATAAGCTATTTTTTTCATGGGTCCCAATACAAATGTCTACATCAAAATTTTGTGAGTGAAAATATAAGTTAAGAGTATAAAATGGGAGTACACATAGTATTTTCCTTTTAAAATCATTATTATACTTTGCACTTTACTGAATAGAATCTCCCTACATACCAGATATACCTTTCGTATATTTGTGTGTGGACCACATTTTTAGTAATACACAAATACATGAGGAGAAATATGGTGTGTGATTGAGTGGAAACGATCCATCCATCCTTAACCAATAAAGGTTTGATATTTGACTTTAGGTATGGAGTAACTTTAAATTTTCAGACCAGTTGTCTCACCAAATAGAGATGCCTACAATTCAGTGAGGGGATTAGTTACAGCGCTACACCAAAAAAAAAAAAAAAAAAAAAAAAAAAAAAAACATAAGGCGAAATGCTATTATAATTACACTTTTGGTCCTGTGACTATAGAGGGTGTGTTAATTTGGGTACGTGACTTTTAAAACTAACAATTTAGTCCTTTAACTATCATTCTTTTAGCAGATTTGGTCCTCCCGGCCAAATTGTCGGTGAAATTTGGCCGGAAAGACGTTCGACTTTTTAAATCAAATATTGGTGCGGGTAATTCAATCTTTTTAATTGTTGAACCGAATTACCCCCACCAATATTTGATTTAAAAATTCAAACGTCTTTCCGACCAAATTCCACCGGCAATTTGGCCGGGAGGACCAAATCTGCTAAAAAATGATAGTTAAAAGACTAAATTGTTAATTGAGTAAATACCCAAAATGGTCCCTCGACTATAGCTAAATTCACAAATTGATCCTTGACTTTTAATTTTAACCAATTAAGTCCTTAACTTTGCAATTTTAACACGATTTGGTCCTCCGTCTATTTGACCGTTTGCTGACTGTGATTTTTGAGGATATATATGTAATTTCATGGTCCATCGTCGATTTTTTAAGGTTTCGGTTGCATTTTCAGACCGCACTGTTATATTTGGATCGACCGTCGAAAGCAATCTGCCAAATCCTGTCGCCTTTCTTCTTCCCCCCTTTGGATTCAATGTAGTTGAGTTCGTACCAGAGTGAAGAAGACAACGTGTTTCCGAATCGGTGCAACGTCATCCTGGAGGCTTCCATGTGCTCCGATGAGAGCTGCAGGTTCTTCTGGAGATCGTCGATGACGGCGCGGGCGTTAATGCAAAAGTGTTCGAAGGACCAAATCGTGTTAAAATTGCAAAGTTAAGGACTTAATTGGTTAAAATTGAAAGTTAAGGACCAATTTGTGAATTTAACTATAGTTGAGGGACCATTTTGAGTATTTACTCTTGTTAATTTTAAAAGTCACGTACCCAAATTAACACACCCCCTATAGTCACAGGACCAAAAGTGTAATTTGCTCTAATATTAATCACTCTCCCAAACACTTATTAAGCGTATATTTATTGTTTACTAGTGATTGAATTGGTACACCCATTATGATTTTAAAAAAAATTAAACGGTAATAAATACACTCTTTATCTCGAATTACCAGTTTTACTTATTCTCTTTAACATCTTTTTATATTTTTATATTTTTAACTTTTTAGTAAGTTTTGACTTTTGATAAATAAAAATTATATATTTAAAAACTCTTTTAAATATATAATTTTTATTTATCAAAACTAAAGTAAGTTACTAAAAAATTAAATTATAAATAATTTAAGTTAAGTCTTATTAATCAAAATAAGATATAGAAAATGGGATATACAAAGAAAACAAAATTCAATGCAATAATGATACGCAAATAAAAAAAATTAAAAAGTAAAATTAACTTTAAAGAGTGAATATAATTCATGGTTTTATTCAATCGTTATACCCTGCACCACGACGCAAAGTGCACTGTGTCCCGCGCCTTTCAAAACGATGTCGTTTTGAGAGGCATGGTAGAGAGTTGACGTGATTATGTGTATTTGTTTATACAATTATGTATATTTTTTTTATACAGTTATATGTATTTGTTTATACAATTATGTGTATTTGTTTCATCTCTCCTCGACCCCGATTTTTGTCACCCCTATTAATTTTGCATCCTTTCCCCGGATTCTTAACCGTTCCTACAGACTTCAAATTTCTCCGCCCTTCAGCATTTTTTTTATCCCTTATTCTCATCATTTGCACTCTAACCCCCTAAACTATCCACCTCTTTGCACTTTGTACCCCATCATCTAGTGTGCACTTCAACTCTAAGATTTCCACTTATTCGCACTTTATATCACATTTGTGGACCATTAATATCAAGTACATTTTTAATATATTAAAAGTACATTATTTTGTACTGAATGTACATTATATAAAATAACGTACCCTTAATATATTAAAAATGTATTTCAAAAAATGTACCTTACATACATAAATAATGTACTCTTAATATATTAAAAATGTACTTTTTATTTATGGTCCACACAATTGTGTAGACCATGCATGTTGCATGCAATAATGATTGCACATTTCCTCAGCCTTTGCAATCAACTCCTAAATTTTGCTCATTAGCCAGCCAATACCCCCAACCTTTAATCCTAGCCCAATTCGCACCCCATTCTTTAATTTCTTAACCCATTGAGTCTAATATGCCGCCTTCATTAGCTTCATTATTATAAATCATTATAAGTTTTGTTAACCAAATCAAACACATAAAATGAGACAGAGTTAAGAAGATTATGGTTTGTATCAAATAAAACCACTATTGCATGAGAGAGTACGATGTCGATATGAAAAATCCTAACTAATGGCTTTATAGCTAGAGTTATTTACACAAATGTCATTATGTCTTGTATTTTAACATTTTCAGCATAAATAATCTAAACCTCCGTCAAAATGTGTTTAAATGATAAGAACCTAAGAGTGGTTTCCAATTATTAAACCTAATACTTTATATGTAAAAACTGCATATACTTAATACAATTATTTCACAATATCTACTCTAAGAAACGAAATTTTAATTTTATTGTGTATTTTTATTTTTTAAATATAAAATTTTTAATCCCTTAATTATTACCTTTTATGAAATTTGGTCCATGTCTTTTAATTTGAATCAATTTAGCAATTGTTATACCATGGACCAGGGTCCATCTTGCATTGTTGACCCCAATTCAAAACAACATCCAATATAATGTGTCTGCAGTTAACATATTATGTGTTTTCAGTTAATAGATTATGTGCCTATAAATAAATTTAAGGTACATAATATGCTAATTGCAGTCACATAATTTATTAACTGCAAGAACATAATATGTTAACTACAGATACATAATATATTAATTGTAGTAGGTACATAATTTATGTTTGCAGTTAATAAATTATATGTCTGCAATTAAAATATTATATACTTTCAATTTATTAGGCATATAATCCATTAGTTGAAAGCACATAAAATTTTAACTTGTAAGACACATAATCTGTCATTTTGGACGAGGGTTCACAATGCAAATTAGACTCTGGCCCATGGTATAGTAAATTTAGTCACTCAAGAACAAATTAGACACTCAAATTCTAAGAGTATTATACTATGAGAAACTAAGAATATCATTGATTTGTTTACATGTATTTGATGCCCCTCTTGCTTAATATATATGTTTTCTAGGAAACCTTGGTATCAAAAGGCAATGGACATGGCATCATTATGGAAAGCCTTTGCAAAGCCATCTGAAATTCCAACAACAAATGCTACATTATGGAGAACACTCTCTAAATCATCACAGATTTCCAACTCTAATTCCAATAGACACAAGCTAAGAAAATGCACCTCCTTGAAGGTGGCAACTTCTTTCACTAGGGTTTGTTTATGTGCACCCATTTCTTCCTATACAGAAGTCTTCCCGGCTGAAGTCCCCCCGAGGAGAAGTAACAGTTATCCAAGAACAAAGCCAATGATTACTCCCCCAACATCAAAAGACCAAACTAGGGTTCCGAGCGCGAGGATCAGCATGGAGGGAAGGAGAATTTTTCGAGGAAAATCCTTGACGGATGATGTTCTTATGAGGAGATTTGTTGTTGAAGAAGAAGCAATGTGGCAAGTTAGGAGGAGGAACCAGATGGAAGCTATTAGGAGAAGAAGTTCCATGAAAAGGAGAAAGCTAGTCCTCTAAGTAGAATGATTTTGGCTGAGGAGGAATGTGATTGAGTTTAATTATATTACTTGTACTTAGGTTGCATAAAATGTGCCAATTCAGTTGAGGGTATCTAAACTCAAAGTTTCTTCATTGGGGTAATTGAAATCGGAGTTTGGTTTTTGTGGGTGCTTTAGTTTATGCCACTTGATCGAGTATGGTAAGTTGTAAAATGTACCATGGTAAGTGAATTCAATGATATTTTCCAACCTCTTTTCATTTTGATGCAATCAATACGGAGTACAATATTTGATTTCTTCAACTATAAATTTTTATTTTTATTTTTAGTCAAGATTTATCAATACAATTACTTTTTTATTCCTTAAACAAAATAAAAAATTAAAAGATCCAATCTGAACTAAAATGTCAAAATGCTCTTATTTTCATTATAATTTGTCATTCATGACATGAGAATATTTAAGACATTTTGAACTAGATATGATTTATTTTAAAATTTTGAGAAAATAAAAATGATTAACTTGACCGTCAATGATTAAAAATAAAAGTGAATCTTCTCAAAAAAAATAAAAATGAAAGTGACTAGTATTGAACAAAGTTAATATTAGAGAGTTGCGATATAATACATCCGTTGATTTTTGAACATAGTTTGGCTGTTATGAAGAGATTGCAAGATAAAGTCATTATAGGGACATTTGCCAGCGCACTTAGATATTTCGAAGGAAGATAAAGTTGAAATGCGAAGGGGTGAATGGTTGAGGTGAATTTCAAATATGAATATCTTCTTTCAATATTATTATTGGGGTCATAAGACACTTGGATAGCTACTTACCCACAAATGGCAAAATTCCCTCCGCCCCCACAACCCATACCCTACCCACAAGACACTAGAGACCAAGGTTCGAAACTTGACAACAACAGTGTAAGAATTATATCCAAAATAGAAAAATTCTTTGTGCAGACCGACATTTGACCATGTCTGCAAGCCACTAAATTACCGTTATTTACATCCTCTATGCCCTATCAAGCCAAGATATAGAAAGCCTTAGGAGTTAGGGATCAACCTTTTGAGAGAAGAAAAAGATAGTAGAAAAGTAAATTACAATAACTCAACGGCTCATTACGCTAAAAAACTAGTATCTGGTTACCAAAAAAAGCCCAATTTATTAGATGTAATTTCCACACTAAATAACCATGTTCAAGGCTACAGAAAATATTCAGATTCTTTTTAGTACATCCCAAGAGAGTGGGGTTTAATCTATATTCTCAGGTCACTAGACTACAAAGTCTAAAAAAAAAAAAAAAAACAAAAAAAAACAACGCATTTCAAATACAAATATTGAAATTTTGTTTCCACTCTTCAGCGAACTATAAAAACTTTCATGAAGCTTTACCCGAATAAGGGAGACTAGATCTCATTCGGCAGGAAGGGTATAAGGCTAAATTCATGGACACAGGGAAGATCTTTATTGACTTAATTTCCTTCTCACAAGTCCCTTGAAGAAGTCAAAACTGCAGTAGAAATGATTACAATATTTTTAAGTCAAAAAACACAATTTACTTGAAATGAAATTCAAATATAAGATTGGTTTATAATCTGTCAAATTTTTTAAAAAGTAAAACTATAATTATAAATTAAAAAAAAATAACCTTCAAAAATACAATTCCAGTGATATTATCAAGAAAGCACATTTATACTACATTCTCTCCAGCACAAAATTTTCCTTACTGATAAACATCTAGAAAATAATAAAGCACACAATAACAAAAGCATTCATACAGGCACATATATACTGGGTATGTAGCAAATCGATTAAGTGTCTAATGCACACAATCAACTGTAAGTGTACACAAGCAATAAAATCATCATCATCATCATCATATCCGCAATTCTTATGCAAAGATATAATAAAAATTAAATAAATATCTAGTAAACTTAAATATGAATACTTTGTGAAACAATCACCACCCCATATGCTTTTATCTTTCATCACTAGGGTAGCTTCTATTAACAGGCTTGTCAAGCTGAAGACGTGGTGGTACATCAAGGGTAATTTGGTGCAAAGAGAACTAAGAGGCAAGTTGTGCTAGTGATTTGTTAGGGATGGTGTTTGGTAAATGGCAGTTAGCTGATTGGGTTAGTGGGTTTTACTAGTTGATAGCATTAACTAATAGTAGAAAAGTGTTTGGTAAATAGTTGTTAGTTGATTACATACAAAATGACTTTCTCAAAAAACTGACCGAAAAAACTACTTTGAAAAGCTATTTGAATTTTAGCATTTTGGAGCAATAAGTTGTTACAAAAAGTTAATTAATCAAACACCTATATTGATTGTTTAACCAAGTCAAATAGCTAATAGTAGTCAAATAAGCTAAAATTGGCTGATAGGCTAACTATTTTACCAAATAGGGCCTAAAGATGGAACCAGACTAGCAATGTTTTTTTTTTTTATTGAGCATGATTAGTAATACAGTATAATTGGTTGAAAGAGAGGTGATGGACTTAAAGGATGGATTGGACTAACAATCCTATGCGTGGTTGGAGGATTAATGATTGTAAGTAAAGCAACCCCAGGACATGATGTCAGGGTGTTGGAGAGATTGAGATTATGTATGAATGGTTATTTTCTCCAAATCCAAGAGCAAACAATCAACCACACCTTAGGACTCACTCTCCCAGACCCTAGTCAAATTTGGTTAGTGAGAGAGTGGGCAAGCCTTTTGGTTTACGTAAAAGATGTTAGTGTTACATCAGAGAAACCTCAGAAATTTACCTTCAAATCATTCCAGATTTTGTATACCTCTAATTGTGCAGAGACTCAAGATAACTTTTGTAATAGAAGCACAATAATGTGCTGTATGCTAAAGCAGAAACATATAATGAGGTTTTCTGGCTGAAATGTTAGCATTTCCCAATCTGATCACTACTTAAAACACACACAAGACTGATAATGAATATCAGGTATATGATACCTGTTGCCATCGGGATGAAGTTCACATGTTTGACCATCATCGGTTATGGCTAATAAGTAACCTGAGGATGATAAGCCCTGAATACAGAAAATTAATTTAGAAATCTCAAGCATAAAGTCAGAGAAAAAAAAAATCAGTTCATGAGATAACACCAATGGTACCAAATCAAATTGGAGAAGTTGGTCAAATAAGAATCTATAGAGTAAAGACCCTTTCATCCGATATATTTATCTGAAGGGAAAATATTAAAGAAGTCAGCTGACCTGAATGGTCACTACATTCTCTACAAACTGATCCTGGTTTTCAGTTTTCTCCTGTACAATAACTCGTTGTCCACTGTAGTCAAAATAAATCAGAAGAAAGAATACTAGCAAATCCATGAAAATAATTCCAAGCACATTTAAACTTCACAGATATCAGCACTTGTTAACCAAATCCAGTAAAACAATCCTTTAAACATGTAAATCAAATACTGAGTTGAAATCAAAATAGTGGAAAAACCTCTCCCATATTATATCATATATTGTTATGGTAAACAGATGCACAATCATGTGTAGGGATGACTTTCATATATATATATATAATAAGTTTGCATTGGGCATAAATCCAAGTGAAATAATCTAGAAGCAAGACATTTTTAAACACAGTAAATGCAAATGTTTTACCTGTGGAGCCAAGTCTTGTAGTACAACTCCTCAAGAGGCTGAAATCCTGCATAGACCGAAAATTACAATAGAACTATAACGATAGACATGATTAACACACAGAAGAGGTATAGGACTAGTACTGCATGATCCATTACCACTAAAATCGAGATGATTGTATAACAATTAATGGACCTGTAATTCTAAAGGTTGTTAACAGCAAATTTGTAACATCAGTTCAAGAAAAACAAGATCTTAGGAACACTATTATAATCACATCTCCAGGCATCATGACAAACTTGGAATAAATGAGGCAAAACCAAAGGGATGGAAGTAAAGGAGGAGGGAGATAGGCATTACATTCTCTGGTTACAAGGTACAAAGAGGAAAATTGGAAGGGTGGAGTATACAACTTTATCAGCCTTCATAAAGTCTTGATTATTGTAAAATGAGTGAAAAGAAGAAGAAAAAAAATTATTTTTCTTTACTTACAATCCCTCTGAATGAAAGGACAAACAGATATAATCTCCTGACACAACAAACTAAGCAATTAAGTTGGGTGTAGAAGGCTCTATCATTCTAAAGTCTATAAACACTTGAGCAGTGTACTTACTAGATTTCCAAGTAAGCATGTGATGAACAGGGAATAAATGAGCAAAAATTGGAGGAAATGAAGTAAAAGAGGGAAATCTGAAATTACAGTCTGGCTAGAAGGTACAAAAAGAAATCAGAAGTGCAAATGTTACAACCATACTAACCTTTATAAAGCATTGCAAGATGGATAAAAAATCAGGACGTATGTTTCCATTATTTAATATCCCTTTGAATTTAACAACATGAAGTGGAAATAATTCTCAGAATAAAAAAACTCAGAAAGTCACCTTGGTACCCTAGCTTAACTTCTTTGGTAAAAAAAAAAAAAATGTCAAACTACTTTATGTGCCCCCCCACACTTTTTGTTAAATACATAAGACATATCTGGGAGCTTTATTGGAAGTAGCTACAGTCTTAGTTATTGAGTTAATACCCAATTTAATCCTCAACTATAGTGGTTTTTCTCGATTTAGTCCAAAAAGTCTTTTTTTGTGCTTAATTGGGTCCTGAATTTCGATGGTTTACCTAATTGAGTCCTCTGTTAGGATAACTTGGTAATTTCCCCTCTATTAATACCCAATTTAGTCCACAACTATAGTGGTTTTTCTCAATTTAGTCATTGATTCTAACAGCCAAGGACTCCATTAGGTAAAAGTGTAAAACCATCAAAGTTCAGGACCCAATTAAGCACAAAAAGACTTTTAGAACTAAATCAAGAAAAACCACTATAGTTGAGGACTAAATACAGAGGCAATCACAAGAAAAAAACAATTACACTGTTGCTTGTTCCTAACTTGTCTTTGTTGGGGCCAACAAGCCTTACCCAAAACCATAAAACTATAATGTATTGTAACTATTGTTTATTCTCAAAGGGCCTACTAGCATCAAGAAACTCGAGACAGCATAAAAATGGAAGAAAACTATGGGATTTTACTTTCTTGTTCACAGAAACCATAAAAATAAAAATAAAAAGAAGTGGATTCAAAAAGTGGCAAGTATGTGTCTTATTATCCCACGATTGCTCATATTTAAAGGAAAAATATCTCACCTTGATTAAAGAAAACATCAATGAAGGTCTCAAACTTATTGAAAAAGGCTGCCATAATATCTTCCTTTTTAAATATGTTTGGAACAGAAGTTGATTTCTGCAGAACAGTATTCAAGCATGTTGTGGGCTTTTCATTATCTACATTTATGCCTATTCCTGCATAACAACAGTCAGATGTCAAAAAACCATTGAATCAAGTTTTTAAAACCCTCACACTGATAAATATATACACCACCAAGAAAATCCCAAAGTCCTCTTGTAGTCTTGTTGGAGATTTAAGCAGTTCAATAAGGTAAGCAACTGAAATTTATAAAAAGTCCCAATGCACAGATCCCATATTATGACAAGTTTAAGTAGATTTATTTTTAATATTAGCAACACACTAACTCCTGTGATGTGGAAATCAAGAAAATTAATAGAAGGAAGCATCTCCCCTAAACTCTAACCACCTTGCCCCCAAAAGGAAAAACACAAAGAGAATACAAGAGGAAGAGAAATTGAAGAAAAAGGAGAAGTATTATTGTTAGTTCATTATATTAAGTGAATGAACTCAATAAGAAAATCTTTTGTTAGAAAGTCTGACTGTTTACCAGCACTGATATTAAACTTCTGTGACTTATATGTTGAAGTGCACAAAATGCCACCAACCTTAAGGCCACCTAAATATAAATCATTTGGCCACTTTATTCTTACATCAAGATGTGGTATACCCTGAAATGAAATACATTATCCAAAACAATGATACTAAAAAAATCCAATAGAAGCAAATATTGAAATTTGGAAGAGTTAAAGCATTAAACTAGAATACATTTAAATATCACTCAGCGGAAATTCAGCAAAATCAACTTTAACGGATAAAAATCAGTTATAAATAACTTACATATCACTGCTTCACATTTCCTTCATATAAAAATCATTGATGAAACCTAGGGGAAATACTTCATAAATTGAATGACAATAAGCCTACGGTAAGAGATATATTCATTTCGTCACTTGATACACGTTATTTAAACATTATAAGTTTTGAATAAATCATTTACTATAGATTGGGAAAATTAGATTCTCTCCTCTTGAGGTTAGAAAGATTGGATGTGCGCCATGAACTTTCCTTTTCATCATTCATAAGAAAAACTACTAAAAGGCTCTCCACATGCAACAGCAAATTGCAGTATGTTTAAACAAACTAGAGTCCTCAGGATGAATCTTATATCACATAATAATTCGGAGGTTTTATCTCAATAAGTGTTGCCCAAACTTTTTAAAGCGAAAAAGCGCACTAAAGCGACAAGGTTGGGCTTTGCTTTAAAGCGCAAAGCGAAACATCACTTTTTCATGCAAAGCGACGCTTTAAATATATATATATATATATATATATATATATATATATATATATATATATATATATATATATATCATGGTTGCAGTAGGAAATCGGTCTAGGCGGACAGCGCCTAGCGCCTAGGCGGAATCTAGGCAGCGCTAGGCGGGCGCCAAAAAAACAGTTGTAGACTTGCATTTTGACAATTTTAATGAGGTTGTTTTCAACATTTAATCAAATAACACATCCAAATAAATGAATTAATGATAATTCATAAGTCATAACATCAAAATAATGGTTTTTAAAAAAAAACATTAAAACAATATTAAAAATTAAAAATACTCAAATATGAAATACTCAAATACTTCAATTATCCAAAGATTCAAAGTATCAAACTAGTCTACGAGTATATATATGTCATATTCTATATATGTATGCGCGCGCGCGCACACACACACATATAATAAAAAATAGGTCGAGCCGATCGGGTGAACTCGACCGAAATGGACGAGTTAACTCGACTAACTTAGACGCTAGGCGGCCAAATCGGCCGAGTTAGGCGCTAGGCGGACGCCTAGGCAGCCGGTAACCTAGGCGGGCGCCTAGGGGGGAAATCGCAACGGTCTAGAGGCGCCTAGCGCCTAGGCGGGCGCCTAGACCGATTTTTACAACCCTGATATATATATATATATATAGTCAAAAAACTCCAAATATTCAAATAGTAATGCAAAATAACATAAATAAGAACTCCTAAAGTCACAATATCATAATAATACAAACTTTAGTCATCAAAATAAAGTCATTCAAGCCAAATTGTCATCAAAATATCACATATACAATATTCATAATCAATCATTCAATCCTCCATCTCAAAATCATCTTCTTCATCACCCAAATTGTCAAACTTAATAACTCTATCATCTTCAAATGCTTCTTCATCAACGTCATCTTCATCCACTAGTCTACGTTCGGGAACCTTTTCCTTTCCCTTAGACCTTGAACTCCCTACCTTCTCTTTTCCTTTAGAAGCATGCCTAAGAGAATAAGGAGTTTCATTTGCACCCGAAAACTTAACAATTTTCCCCAAGTCAATCCATCCATCTCTATCATCAAATACCAACTCTTCATTAGCATCATCTGGGATACCTGTCAACCATTCATTAGCAAAATCAATTTGATCCAAATTAATTGGATCAATGGTATCCCGCATTTCCCATTGCCGCTTCAATGCTCTATTATACTTGATGAAAACCAAATCATTAAGGCGCATGTGCTCAAGGCGACTTATCCTTTTCGAATGCAACTGAAATATTTAAAATTAATTAATGCTTAAATATGTTATAATTGCTCATTAATAACTTCAAAATGATAAGTTGACTAACTTACATGCTCAAACACACTCCAATTTCTTTCACATCCCGACGCACTAGTGGTGAGACTAAGAATCTTAATTGCAAACTCTTTCAAATGTGGAGTTGAGCTCTCAAAAGAATTCCACCAATCAACTGTAAAATTTGAAAATTATTCAAGTTTGCAATATTTTGATTATAAATAAAAATTGTAAGTTAGATTGTCTAAGAAGTAAGACCCTAGAACCACGTTGTTTCTTGGCAATTGGCAAGCTAAATAAACCACACCCAGCTTCCCAAGTACACTTCCTCGGTAATTTTCTCATAGACATCTTGATCTGGAACCAACCTCTCCAAACACTCATAAAAGCCAGCAATAACTTCTGGCGATTTAACAGTAGAAGAAACCGGTGTCTCACCACTATACCGGAAGCAATATGGATTCAAGTAGTACGCAACTGCATGCAATGGTTGACGGAGCTGGGAACTCCACCATTTATCTAGGATTTCAAACTCAGATTGACGGAGATCAACATCAGGATATTGTATTCTATTTGGGGGTAATCTTGTTTCTTGGAAAAGTAAGAAACAAGATGTGGTTGCACGTTCAAGCACAGAAGCAGAATACCGAGCAATGGCACTTGGAATATGTGAACTAATTTGGGTTTAAACAACTTCTTACAAAACTCAATTTCTATAAGCCCGATCCTATGAAATTAATGTGATAATCAAGCAGCGCTGCACATTGCATCTAATCCTGTCTACCATGAAAGGACCAAACATATTGAGGTTGATTGCCACTTTATACAAGAGAAGGTTGCATCCGGAGACATTGTTACCACATTTGTTGGGTCAAATGTTCTCACCAAATCTCTCCGTGGACCTAGGAGAGAATACATTTGTAGCAAGCTTGGAGCATTTGATTTATATGCTCCAACTTGAGGGAGAGTGTTGGAAAATATTTTTTGTTGGAAACATCTGTCTTGGCCAGCCTGAAATTTACTCTTGTTGTTGTGCTTTGAGAAGAGGATTAGGTTTCTTGGGCAGTTTAGAATTTATTGTGTACTTTTCCAATGTCTTTTGTTTGCCTATATATTTGGTGTGTAATCTGAAGCTTTATATGGAATAATAAACATCATTTCTACTTTTCCCTACTACTGTTCTACAGTTGTAATTTGATATTCTTGTATCAAGCAAAAATAATATCTCAAAAGTGTCATTTAAAGAATAATCATTCATCTATTTTACATGCACTTACCGTATTTAGAGGTGCTTGCATTCCCACTTTTTATTATGAAAACTTAACCAGATTTGATGCTGTTAAATACGTGCAACACATCCAATTTCTATCTTAAACTGAATTCTCTGTATTACATTCAACCTACAATTTCGAAATGCAACAAGACTAGGCAAATAAATTTTGCAATGCACTTACATATTGCTTGCAGAGATCATTAATAGCATCTGTCATGGCAAGACTGACTACATACTGAACATGTGGCACTATTCGTCCATCTTCCATTTGTAAGGTAAAGGAAAATAGAAGGGAACCCTTTGGTGATTCCCACACATTCATTGAACGACCTACACAGATAAGTGATCAGACAAAAAGTATCATAAACTTCAACCATTTATTGCAGCACAACACCCATAGTACCTCGCCCCTTGAATTGCACATCAGCGACACACACTGCACCAACTGGCAGCTCACAGAAATTTCTGCCCAACAAAGAATAATTTCAATGGTGAAATTGTAGTAGGGGCCAGGGCCCACCGGCAATGCTTGGGTTGGGCCAATTCTTATCATATTTAAAGTCAAAATTTTAACTGATTTATAAAATTTGATAAACCCTATAGGTTATTAATTTCAATACTTTTAGTCAATGTTATATCCGGATAAAAATTTGATACAAACATAAGATGTTAAAATGTCACATAGACTAGCCTCCAAAATAAAATTTCACTCAAACTAAACACATTTGAAAACATTTTGAATATTGAGTCTTAAAAAGCACACAAATTTTTTTATGTAATTAATTTTATAACATTATAGTCCCAAAAAATTGAGTTTGGAAAACGAATGTGAAAAATTGCTGCCCATAACATATTTTCTAAATTGAAAAATATAATAAAGGGAATGGGAAAACTGGAAAACAAAAAATGGAAAACGGAAAACTAGATAATTGAGGTAAATGCACCCTTAAATTTTCAAATCCTAAAGTTATCAGCTAGGATCAATTTATTTGAAGCTAAGTATGAGCTTTAAAATAGGATTATAGGAATTCAATCTACTTTTACTTTTGGCTCTAGTTAGTTCATAAAAATACTAAACAACTATCCAATTATTATAATCATCATACAATTTATTTACTCAATAATAGAAAATAACATAACCTCTTGTTCTATACATGATTACAAAATATTTATCCAAATATCATTTTTAAGTATTCTAAAAATAGTGATAACTGAAGGTAAAAAATAATGAATATTCTCATTTTCAAAGAATTTCTAGATTTTTTTGGTACAAAGGGTCACTAGAAAAGATTAAAACCCTAATAAATAGTTACTAAACCCATACATACCGTGCAACGACATCCTGTGTTGAAGGCAATCTAGGAGAGTAAACAAGGAACCTCCCGAGGCTCATCGTCAAAAGGGATTTAAAGTAATCTCTAATGCGAAACCCTTCGTTTCCAAGGCTATCTTCGACCTCCGGATGCAAAACAACTTCGAATTGATCGTCCCCAAGGAGTTTCATAGCATTGTTATTCTTCAATGACTTGGCCAGTTCATTCTCAGCTGCAGATTTCCCGCATAACACCAAAAGTGAAGGCGCCGATGATTCTGATTCCATATCTAACCCCAAAAAACGAAAGTTAAAGTTGTATAAAATGAAAAAGTATTAGTAATTAATCATACATACATACATACGCACATGTATACATAGAAGGGAGAGAGAGAGAAATGGTGTTTACAGGGTGTAGGGGAAGAAGTGGGGAAAGCCAAGTGAGAAGAAGATGCAAGCTGAGGAAGAGAGCGAAAGCAGGAGGAGGATCGATGGTGAGAGAGTATAGAACGGCTAGTCAACATCATCACGCTTTGTAATTTGGATAGTCCGCTTCAGCTCAAGGGAGAGAGTAAATGGTGTCATGTTCTACTCACATTACTTATTAGCGGCGCGCTCCACTTCGGGCATTGGAATCTCCATCCAATTTTTGCGGGTACATAAATACACAAAATTCAAAATACAAGATAATTAAACTAAATCCAACTACACTCATACATAATTAAATATTTAAATTAATTGTTGTTTTTATTTGATAATTTTATCAATACCAGATCCACCATAAACGGATAAAAATGTACATAATGGGAGCCGTGGCAGACCCAGGATTTTTGGCAAAGACGCAAAGGGAAAATAAATTCAAAAATGTTCAAATACAAGGTTCAAATTGCTTCCTCAGATTATGCCTAATAAGAAATTAGGATTATGCCTAATCAAATTATGAGAAACAACAATTAGCCTGATGAAGTGTTTATATGATAATCCTTTTACAAGTTGAAGAATCAATATGCAGAAATTTGATGAGCTAACCAATGAAAAAGAAATAAAGAGGCTTTGATTACTCAAAGCTACAGTCAAATGGAAGGCAATGTCAGTAGAGCTATTGATGAAGAGCATTTACCTTTTGCCAATTATTATTGCAACAGCCAGGCCAACAGCACAAACAACATCTATTGTCAATCATCACCCTCTGAAACCACTGATAAATCCTTAACCATTACATAATTCTCTTTAAGCTTTGGGCCATACTCAGGTAAAAATGATAACTTTGAAACCTCCAAAAACCTGCACACATGGAATTGAGGTAGCATCCAGTGGATTAACACCAGGGAAAAAGTGCAATGAAACAAATATAAAAACGAAATGCCTAATCAAAAATTATCAGATTATGCCTAAATTAAATCAAATTAGGATTTAGGGCAAACATAAATCAAATTAGGATTTAGGGCAAGAATTGAACATTTGAACATAAATTAAACCAGCAAGGCAGCAAATTAAAGCAAATTAAACCTTACCTGGCAGTCCGCAGTTGCGACTTGCGACTTTGCGAGGCAAGGAGTGGTGGGCGGTGGCGCTGAAGAGGCTGAAGGCAGACGGGAGGCAGAGAGCGACGAGAGGTGAGAGGCACAGAGAAGAGAAGAACGGGGAGCTTCAGAGCAGACCGCAGAGGCGTAGAGAAGAAACCTTCAGAGCAAATGAATTTAAAGAAAAAAAAAATTATATATATAACAGCACAAAACTACGTCGTTTTGGGCTGAATAATTTTGGACTGTGTGATAGTAATACTATTGCTCACGGCGCTAGGTCCAAAGGGAGTGTTATGCTGTGGACCCGTGTCCACCATGTGCATAGTAGACACGCTGTACATTTATAATTTTCATACTGTAGATTCATAATTTCTATACTATAGATTCATAAATTTATAATGTAGATTCATAATTTCTATACTGCACATTCATAATTTCTGTACTGTAGATTCATAATTTCTATACTGTAGATTCATAATTTCTATATTGTAAATTCATAAAATTTATAATGTAGATTCATACAGTACAGAAATTATGAATGTGCAATATAGAAATTATGAATCTACAATATAGAAATTATAAATCTACAGTATAGAAATTATATATCTACAGTACAGAAATTATGAATCTTCAGTATAGAAATTATGAATGTACAGTGTGTCCACCATATACATGGTGGACACGGATCCACAACACAATTTGCCGGTCCAAAGAGTATGTACAATAGCCTAATGTAATGGTCCAAATAATAAAGTTGTAGCTCAAGTAGTGGGCCAGGTAGTCAGGTACTCGGGTTGAAAGTGCAGATATGCACTACTGAACAAGGAGAGATGTCGTGCACAGGCCACAATGTCCAAAGGAGGCAAGACACCCTCCATAGTGTCTCATAACCTCCCACTGCCTGCCACATGTACGGTTCCTCTCCGCCCTTCTTCCCCACCATCCACGTGTACCTTGACTCCTTCCCACACACAACCTCCCTCACGCACTGACCATGCGGCGGTCAGATGAAGCTAGTAGGCCCCCACGCCTGCGGAACACTGGCCAGCGATGGGCGATTCTGACCCCCACATCGGTGGTGGCTCACCCCTCCCCCACTTGACAACGGGGAGGAGGCAAGGAATAGGGTCCTCGTCCAACCCAATTTCACACCCCCATCACCAACCCCGCCATGTTTAGTGTTGGGGAAAGGTGATTGATGAATATCGTGCTACATTAAATGCCCAATCTATTAGAGCTTTTATTTGTGGTGAGCATTGGCTTCATAACAACTATGAAATGAAGAAAAAACAAAATGTAATAATCTTATTTTATATTACTATTACCCCGCAGGGATTTTGATATGGACAACCAGGATCACGTAACAGACAAAGGTGTTTGAATGAGAATAAAGATAGAGAGGAAATATTGGGGTTTTTGTTGAGATCTCCAACTCCTTGTTTTCTCTAAAATTTCTAGTTGTCTAAATATTGATTGAAGATGTCCTTTATATGGGCTAATGCAATGATGTCCTTTATATAGGCTAATGCAAGAAACAAAGAATTGTTGCTAGATCTTCTACTGAGGCAGAATATAAAGCTCTAGCAGATGTCTGTCCTGAGGTAATTTGGATAGTCTCGTGCTGCATGAAATCAATGTGCCATGTATTTCTGTTCCTAAGTTGCGGTGTGATAATCTTGGTGCTACGTATATGTGTGCAAATCTCATCTTTCATGTCATAACAAGCACGTGGAAATTGACTATCACTTTGATAGAGATAGAATTGCTTCTGGAGACATTCAAGTCAATTTTATCTCAACAAAAGATCAACTTGCTCACATAGTTACAAAAACTTTACTTAGTCCTAGATTTTCTTTCATTAGAGACAAGCTACAAGTTACTAGTATACTCTGTGTTTGAGGGGGAGTAGGACTCTATGTATTTGAATCAAATTATGTCTCTCTATCCTAGTCTCCCTATGTATTTGAATAAAATTTCAGCCAAGTGCACATTTTGGTGCCTTCAAGTGCATGTTTTTGTTCTTTCAAGTGCACAATTTTTGTTAATTCGAAGTGTATTTTTTGTAAAGAGCAGTACATCTAGATGAATTTAATGGCTGAAATTTGTGTGCATTTTTCACCTAGAGAGTCTTTCGCGCCGATCCTAGACCTATATATATAAAAGCATGTGTGAAAATTCTATTTTTGATATTGTAATACAAAAGCTATTATGAGAATAACTAATACCAAGCCTCTCGATTTATTCAAGGAACACTATTCCCAAGACAATCAATGTAATATTTCTATTCCCAAGAGCGTTATTCCAATCTCGATTTATTTCTTGAACCAAACATGTTATAAATACAGATTCCTATATAAATTGCCAATAAATTTTATGTTTACTCGATAGTAGACACTTACATAACAAAATTTTATTAGTTTTTTTTTTTCCTCTTGTTTTCCAAAAAGAATGAAAGAAGAAAAGTTTTTGGCTGTCCAACAATATTAAAATGTCGAAGGATATAAGATAATGGAAAAATTGTTAAATAAGCCAATATACTTTTTTATTTTTGTGCAATTAGGTCACTGAATTTAAAAAGTGTGCAATCAAATTATCAAACACGCAAGAAATGTGCAATTAGGATTTTTCTATTTTTTTTTTTCGATAGAATCCGAGACTAAATGATATGTTCTAAAAATTGTTTTTCCCTCTATTATATAGTTGGGAGTAAAGATTAAAATGTTTTTAACTTAAATTACATTAAAAGAAATCATAAAAATATTTTAATTGATTTTACTTGTTTGATTGATAAATTTTATATATTTATATAATTTATAAATGTAATAACTTTTTTTTGAGGAGTATAAATTTAGAAACTTAATTATATAAAAATGATAAGTACAATGACGTATTTTGACACATCTTTTTCTTAAGTTAATTATGAAATTGAGTTTTGGGAAGAATTATGAAATTGAGTTACAGTGATCCCCAACTCGTTTTCCACTTTTCCAGTTTTCTATATAGCAAACTCATTATTCTCATTTCACATTTTCACATACATCTTTCTATTCGCTTTCGGCTTTCTCATTAATGCGAACGTGAAACAGGCTCAAAATCACTAATAAAATCTTGTCAAGTTTAAGAGGAAGTAGAGGAATTTTAGGGGTAATTGTAAGAAGAAAAGGAAAACATGGCTCTGAAGCTAAATGCCCTTAGTTTGCGATCTCATAAGTATTATACTTCTACCGTACAATCAATGGCGAGCAACAGCTTTAGATCCTCCAAGGTTGTCATGGCTTCAACCCTTCGCTCAGGAACTAAGTGAGTTAGTTCTCCTTGTTATTTGTTTATTACTATTTTTTAAAATCGTATTCAGAAGTTTTTGTTTCATTCTTGAAATCCATCAGTACCCGTTTGATTTTTTCGGTTAATTTGAACTCTTTTTGGGAGTTTCTTCGTAATTCTGCACAATTTTTGATATGGAATTCCTTGTCTTTGGTCCAATTTGGTTTCTAAAAGGTTCAATCTAGTTTGGGTTATTTGATCTTGTGTTTACTTCTCAATTGCCTTATATTTTCCAACATTTTTGTGCAGTTAAGTATTCCAATTATGCAATTCCTTTTGTCTTCATATTGAGTTTTTAAGCACAAAGGGTGAATGTGGTTATGCATCATGTTTGTATATTTTGATTGGTATAAGGATTGACATTTCATTAATTGTCCTTTTCAGTCAAGTGGTAAAATAGAATCCTCATTTGAGTATGGCTTATCAAATACTATGATCACGAGAGCACGTGTGAAATAGAATCCTCATTTGTGTATGGCTTGACATACTTCATTTCACATGGTGCACTTTCTGTTGTTTCACTGATCTGTTCACCTTGGCGATTTTCACTAATTATTCTTATTTTTCTTTCAAAATGATTTAATAAAAAACTAGCCAAGTAACTCAACATTTCATTTGTCCATTTAGTTGGGTGTGAGTTGAATTTGTCTTCCTTAGCTTGTGTTGTACCTATATAGTTATTCAAGGACGGTAGCCTAACTGGATTGATATTATGAGTTGGTTGAGTTATTCAAGGATGGTAATTGGGACTTAAAGTTTTCAAGTAGTTTCTTGGGAGAAAAGAAATAACCATTGTTGCTAAATATTATACTCGATTTAAAATGGTGACTATAGTAGGTTATAATATCCTTGTACAGAAAGGCTACTTTAAGTTGTACACACTTTACTGTTATGAATCTCCATGTACCGACAAGTGTGAGATGAGGTCTGGAGCCAGCTTGTTATGATGTATTTACTTCAGCATGAATCGACTTCCTAATTTACTTTTTTTTTTTTTAGAAAAAGTTTTAAATCAGCTTTCTTGCCATTCGTTTCTTTTGTATACATATCATCAAGTATCAAATCCTTACATCTCTCGTCGTGAATTTTAGTGAAGTTGAGAACTTGAAGAAGCCTTTTACTCCTCCACGTGAGGTGCATGTTCAAGTGACACACTCTATGCCGCCATAGAAAATTGAAATCTTCAGAGCACTCGAGGATTGGGCTGACCAAAATATATTGACTCTTTTGAAACCAGTTGAAAAGTGCTGGCAACC